AAAAAAAAAAAAAATCCAGCAAAAAAAAAAAAAATTCAACAGCTGTAGTCTCCACATTGTTTTGGAGGGGAAAATAATGACAGAGAAAAAGCATCCTGGCCCTAGAGTCCACTTGCTCTGCCACTACACATCAGGAACCCCATCAACTAAGTCACACCAGTGTAAGTCTGAGGAAAATCAAGCCCATAAAATTTTGTAGCAGTGTGTGTGATGTGTGTATTTTAGTCAATATGTTATGTTGTGTGCAATATATCTGAGTTACAATTCTGTTAAAAATTTAACTTTGCATTCTTGACATTTATGCACATAAAATCTTAATCAAAAGGATGCATTAATGTAGATTTCTGCACTTGATTTCCTTGTTTTTAAGAGAATTAAAAAAATACAAAGGAAAAAGAAACAGGATTGATAAAAATCTGAATGTGAGCTGGGATATTCAAATCACCCCACATTCAAATCTCTGTCTGTGTCCATAGACGGTCTTTTGTTTTATTCTTAGATTGTAAGTTCTTTGGGGCAGGGATTGTCTTTTTGCTTTGTGTTTGTACAGCACCTAGCACAATGAGATCCTGGTTTATGATGGGGGCTTCCAGATGCTACAGTAACACAAATAATAAATGTTCTAGGACTTAATAATCAAATAAATGGGCTAGTGAAGTAAACAGTTGAGAGGTTTTTTTGGTCGGAAGGAGGACAAGGTCACTGCAGAGTGAGGAACAAGGGGCTGCATGGGGCTTTTGGAAGATAGACTGAAAATGCTTGTCACTCTGGTGGGTGGAGCATTAGGCAGGTGGGAGATGGTCAGGTTGGGGTTGTTTGTCACTTGGTAGGAGTCCTCAGACAACTTTCCATCCTCTCTACCGCTAACCATAGCCTTACCATCTCTCGATGTTCTTCTCCATCAAAACGATCTCTCCTCCTTTGTTGTACCCCACTCCCTTTCTTGAAAGAGCCTGGGGCAAAGCTACCCCTGTGCTGTGCATGGTGTAGTGTGACTGCTTTGAACTATATGTACCCTGAACAATATGAATCTGGAGCGTTCCACATCTTGACTGGCCATGCTCAGAGCTTCTGTATGTCTGGAGTTCTGAATAATGAAATAAAGCTTTTGGGGGAGCCTGAAATATCCTCACTTTCCTAAGCAGGCACTAGTCTGTGAGCTCCTGTCATTGTATCATTTAACTTTTCCTCAGTAGCTGAAACTCACATAGACATGAACGTAGTCTTGGCAACATCTCTAAGTTTTGACATTGATTGGGGTTTCCTATTCGTTTTCTGCCAACAGGAATGGCATAATCGTCAATGAATAAATCATTTCTCGAACTAGAAGGGCTATCAAGTAACTAAAACATCGCTTAACATAACCCGGAAAAAAATATTTCCTACTGGAAGTGCCATGAGCATTCTGAACCCAAAAGAAAAAATATTAAGGACCATACTTACTATATGTCGTGCTGCAAAGACTCCATCAACTATTGCACAACAGAATGCTGCTACCACTCCAAAGCTGATAAATACGATGGATGCTACCAACTAGAAAGAGAAAAGAGGATTTAACAACTTGTTCAATGCAATTCTTGAGACACAATTATAAAACAAATTGCTTTGGCAAACTAGAACGAGACGTTTCACTTGTGTCATCAAATGTAATCACTTAGTTTGCCACCAATTCAGTGAGAATACCGGTGGCACAAGGCAACAAGGCAGAAATTCTTGCAGCTACCAGTACCGCTGAATTGATAGAAAACCCAGTTTGTTGGAAAAGCTTAAATCTTTCCATTAAAAATAGCTGCAAGAGCTATTAAATGCAATGGTGATTTCTCCTAAATCAAGTGTATCAAATAAACCAGCAGTGGTCTCTGTAGGGTGCATGGCAAAGACAAAAGCCACTTCCCCATTGGCTCATATAAATCTGTAAAGTATTGCTACAGCAGTAGCAATTCACGCGCACAAATATTAGCTTGTTGCAAGGTTCTTAACCAGCCAAATGCACATCCGTCAACTGTAAGAAAGCTTTTGCTACCCCAACCAGTTTATTTATTCTTTTTCCCTTAGAAAAATCCAAGGACTAAAGTTATATTCCATGTTTAGCTCCTCTACATTGTTTATAAGATTTTCCAAAACTGCCTGGAATCACCTCATTTCCTCTGGAGTTTGTTTAAACATTTCCCAACATTTAAGATGTTCTGAATACATTAAGTGAAGCATTTTATTTATTTAAATCAAAACAAAGTAGAAATACCATCAAAATATCCCAACTTTGATATGCCCTAGTACGCTACAATTAAATGTTATAGCACATCATTCACACTATATCATAATACTCATCAGCTACAATAATGGAAATGTAGCTAAGTACAGTAGACAAAGATGTATCAATGGTTGGTAAGAAGTGCTGGAGTGGCAGGGAAACAGAGTATAAGAAAAGGAGCTCTGGCAGTTTGTACACTTACAGGTGCCCTTTCAACCTTTTAAGCCATCTAAGTCAATTAATATACCTTAAATAATTATTTGCCCCGACAATCTTCTCACCTTGACGCTGATCCTATTTACCTCTATGTACTGAGAGGAGTCCCACTGATCGCAACAGGGCTTCTCACAGAATATAAACTTAAGCATTTGCATAAGTCTTTGCAGGATCAGAACCTTTATTCCTAAGGTGCAGTGGGGGAGGTTTAAGGTTTATTTTATTATTTAATATGAGCTCTCCCCCACATTGACTCCAACAGAGACCAACTCTCCCTTTACAGGAGCTGGTGCCAGTAACTGCAGGAGGCAGGTGACACTATACAGATCCTTAGGGGTTGTCTACACTTACTGGGGGATTGACGTGCGGCAATCGATGCATCGGCAGTTGATTTAGCGGATCTAGCGAAGACCCGCTAAATCGACCGCTGATTGCTCTCCCATGGACTCCTGTCCTCCACCAAATTGAGAAGAATAAGGGGAGTGGACGGGAGAGCGTCTCCCATCGACATCGCGTAGCGTGGACCCCGCGGTAAGTAGATCTAAGCTACATCGATTTGAGTTATGCTATTCCCGTAACTCAAATTGCGTAGCTTAGATCGAATTTTCCCTGTAGTGTAGATAAGGCCTTATTCTCACCATCATGGAATCTTCTGTCTTTAAAGATTTTCATTGAAATGGGCATCCTCGAAGTGGCTATGGGTTTTCCCCCCCTCTGCTCTCTCCCAAGTCTCTTACTCAGTCTGAATCTAAACTATAGAGGTGGAAGGAAAGCACATTGGAGCAGCAACGGGGGAGTCGTTGGTCTTCCTGTGTGTTTTATAGTGCCTAGCACATTTGTTTTGCTACCACAATATAAACAACAATCATAATCTGCAACTGCTGGTTTTCATCTTACAAGTCTACTAGCGACAGCTCTGGACTTCATTTCAATTATCTCATTAAGATTGTAATTAAAATCAATTAAGGACATATTTATTCATGGAACAGAAGGGCCAGTGTTGCCCTTCTCTTAACAGATAGAGACCAATTCTTATGCCAGCCACACACACTTAATAACAGTTGCTTATTCTTAGTTAAGTATTGGGCTCAGTAGACTTGTGGTTTGCCTATGATCCAATGAGCACTCTATCACTAACATCATCCTCCAAGCACATAATTCATTACTTAAAAACATGTTACAAAAATATTACACAGCTGATACATCAGCCACACTAAGACAACACATAATTCCCAGTACTCTAAGCATGCATTAAATTGATACAAAGGACCAATAAAGGCCAGAGCAGCCTCATTGGCAGAAGCTATTAAGGAGACACATGCTCAGAGTAGTTCACAACTGCCCTGGCTAGAACTCTTTCCAGGTCATTGCCACCACTTATTTTTGGGACTTCACTGGCCACCATGTGCCTTTTGGTGAAGGAGAGGTTTTGGATACTTTCTAATACTGCAACCTCCCTCCACTCCGAGAACTTATTTCTCCAGGGACTCTGTACCTGGGTTTGTATCAGCAGAATTCAGCGTACACATAAACTGAACCTGGCTCACAGTTCCCACCTGCAACTTTAACCAAAGAAAGAAAGAAAGAAACAAACCATAACAGCACCTTTAACACACAGTTCCATTAGAAAGAACAGGAGTACTTGTGGCACCTTAGAGACCAACAAATTTATTTGAGCATAAGCTTTCGTGGGCTACAGCATATATGTATGTATATATATATATCTCCTCAATATATGTTCCGTTCTATGCATCCGAAGAAGAGGGCTGTAGCCCACGAAAGCTTATGCTCAAATAAATTTGTTAGTCTCTAAGGTGCCACAAGTATTCCTGTTCTTTTTGCAGATACAGACTAACACGGCTGCTACTCTGAAAGTTCCATTAGAGAATTTTGAAAATGTCTGTTATTTGCTATATTGACAGTAATTTCTCCTTTAAAAGCACATGATGTACCCAAGAAAAATCCAGGTCTGAATTATCAAACTGGCCCCTAAAACGGCACTCACACATTCCATATAATACATTCATTTGCATGCACAAGCCTCATATTTGAATTTCAAAATGCTGGTTACACACACAGAAAATTTGCTGGCATGGCATCAGAGACCCATTTGAAAAATTTGGCCCTCTTTATTTCTGTTTAAGCATTTATTTTTAAATATGTTATTTGCTTGCTGTAGAGCCATTATTCTCCATCATATTCTGTCACTGTCGTTATGTTAATACATATTGGCTTATTTAAAAAATTTAAGCCAGTGGGTGGGTAGGTAGAGAATCTTATAGCACATCCTTGTGTAGTAGCAGATTTTTAGGCAGACACGCATCAATTCCATTTAAGATTGAGGTGACTCATTCACTGAATTTGACAAACTAGACAGAAGCCTTCTCCCAAGCCAAATTGACTGGCCTATGCTATCGTTTAAGCCATGCTGGGCAGAAAGCCAGTTTGTGCAGACCTTATGTAGACTTTCCCACTTTCCCTGTACTTTCTTTCTGTTCCTCAGTGGTTTTATGGCATATTCCATACTCCCTTCCTGCTCCCTCTGTACCATCCTTCTCTCTTCTGGACTCTTTGGAAATCCTGATAACCACTATAAACAAACACTCACTGGGAAAGACAGACTTCTTTGTTTTGATCCATCCATCTTAAGAACATAAGAACAGCCATAGTGAGTCAGCCCAAAGGTCCATCTAGCCCAGTATCCTGTCTTCCAACAGTGGCCAATGCCAGGTGCCCCAGAGGGAATGAACAGAACAGGTAATCATCAAGTGATCCAGCCCCTGTTGCCCATTCCAAGTTTCTGGCAAACAGAGGCTAGGGACATCATCCCTGCCCATCCTGGCTAATAGCCATTGATGGACCTATCCTCCTTGAATTTATCTAGTTCTTTTTTGAACCCTGTTATAGTCTTGGCCTTCACAACACCCTCTGGCAAGGAGTTCCACAGGTTGACTATGTGTTGTGTGAAAAAATACTTCCTGTTTGTTTTAAACCTGCTGCCTATTAATTTCATTTGGTGGCCCCTAGTTCTTGTGTTATGAGGAGGAGTAAATAACACTTCCTTATTTACTTTTTCCACACCAGTCATGATTTTATAGACCTCGATCATATTCTGCCTCCCCCTTTGTTGTCTCTTTTCCAAGCTGAAAAGTCCCAGTCTTATTAATCTCTCCTCATACAGCAGCCGTTCCATACCCCTAATCATTTTTGTTGTCCTTTTCTGAACCTTTTCCAAGTCCAATTTTTATTTTATTTTTTTGTGATGGGCGGCGACAACATTTGCACACAGTATTCAAGATGTGGGCGTACCATGGATTTATATAGAGGCAATATGATGCTGTAATAAATCACTCATGTAACTTGGCGCTTTAATTTAAAAACAAAACAACAGTTCACAATCAATTAATCATATACAAATATTCATTTTTAACTATTATCTAATATTTATACAAAGCTTTTCATCCTGAAGAATAACACTGAATACAGCACATACAATTAGAATTTTAACAAAGAAGCTGTTTTGGATTAACACAAGTGAATAAAAGTAAATTATTGGTTTTTTGAACACCTATAATTTCATAATAATTTCCCTCTAGCTGATGCCTTACATAGAGTACCATGTTTTACCCTAGAGCAAATCACTACATATTCATTATGAAGCCCTGAAAGAGTGAAGTTAGACTTTAAAACTTCACATCCCATAACTACAGCAACATTGGTGGACACCAGTGTCTTCAAGCAGAAAAATTGATAGTGTGACAGTACCAAATTATGATCTTGCAATCCTGCATCATGTGATATATACATATGGGGTAATATTGTACCACCCACTTTGAAATAAAATACCTCAATGAAATCAATAGAAATTCTGCTTAAAAACTGATGGCACAATATGGCCCATGTCTTTCAAATGACATAATTCATGGGTGCTTTTTTAATATATCCTTTCATCTCTTCATGCACACAGAGCTATCATTAAAGTTTATTCTAGTTACTTATGGGATGTTGGACTGTGCTGTCACAGTGTAAGTAAAGTTGCTAAGACTTATGGTCTCTTTATCTGAAAGACAGTGGACATACAAAAACCCTAAATCAAGCCAATCTATATGAAGCTCCAAGATATCTCTATCTTGTTTTTCAAGCCATAGCAGTCACTCAAATAATTAGTGTATTCATCCGAGTGCTACCAAATTGCCTATCTGAGCTGAGAATGAATTACTGGAACCTGACCCAGAGTTGCCTTTCCTATTTCACACATGAGCAACTTATTGATGATTTACACTCCAAAATCAATGTTTTCCCCTCACGAGAATCACTTAAATCATCTAACAAGATTTTGCTAACTTTCAGCTTCAGAATTCCAATACTGAGTTCATCTATAAGAAATGCCTACATAAAGGTACACAGTAAACTGTGGTTTTGTAAAAAAATTGTGGGGTTAATTCTGCAGCCCTCCTTCACGTTAATGATCATTTACCCATGCAAACACTTTCATGGATTCAAAAAGATTGACTCTGGTCTAGATTCTGCCACCCTTACTCATATTGAATAGTAATTTAGGGTAGCATTCTTACTTAGGTGCCTAACTCCCATTAAAACAAAAGGGGGAGGGAGTTAGGCATCTATATACCTTTGTGAATCCCACCCTTACTCTGAGAGATCTCCTACTGAAATTAATACAACAACTTGTGGAGTAAGGTAATATGTGGTGTGAGTGAAGATGACAGAATGAGGCCTTACTTCAGCTGGTTCTTTTGGTTCATTCAAAATTTATGTAAAATATCTCCAGATACGAAAAAGATTAAAAGAAACAGAAAGCAAACAGAACAAAGAATATCTTAAAATAAAATTACAGACTAATATTGTCTCTCCAACTCTATATTTCTTAGAGAGAGACAAAAATCAAACTACAAAATGAGATACTTCACAAAAAATGCAGCTAAGACAGCAAAGTGAAGAAATCTTGTAAATTCAAAAGCTTATTCTTATGACTGCTATGACTGCTAGAGTTGTTACATTACTGAACATTCCAACTGTTGGTCATTGACAGGGAAAGAAGAGCAGTAGTAAATAAATTGTAATGGACAATTTTACTAAGTGGCAGCCAGTGAAAAATAGGGGTCGATTTAAAAAGAAAAAAAAACAGGTTCAGATCAATGACAGAATCTCATATGCATCTTAATATTGGCTATCATGTTTTATATGGTAAGTTCTTCTTTATTAAGAAGAATTCCTTTTAACATTGATTCAGTAAAAAGATCTGCTTTAACTGTTATATTGCTATGCAACTGAACTTTTCCACCTCTATTATTATTGGAACATATTATTGGCACTGGTACAGAATACAATAATTTGGTTGTTTCCAGGGGAAACATGTACAGTCAATTAATAGACAGTGAAAACGGTCTTAAGTGAATAATCAAAAGAAAAACATAAATCAGCTGTTTAAACAGAGATATTTTTGAAAAAAGGACTGGACTAGCGCTCTGTATGGAACAGTCCTGCACGCATTTACTACTGGATAGAGAGTCCACTGTCATGACTAGCCCCACTGAAATATAAACAGCTGAAATATAAAATACTAAAATGGGAAAAGCTAAAGAAAGGGTGGATTAGTGAACATTTGTGTTCTAAGAGAACAGATGCGTCCGTTTCACTGTGTAAGACTCTATCCGTATTAGAAA